GTGTAGGCCAGATCATTTATTTTGGCTGTCAAAAAGAAAAATATCTCACAATTGAACTTGCTCCAGTGATCTTAGAGCAAGTAGTCCTGGGACATGTGAAAAATAATCTCATAGATAACTTTCTAAAGTATGTCTCATAATCATATTGGACCACTTTGGAATCCTGCTGAAGAGACTTCAAAAGCTTAGACCAGGAAGAACAATTGGACATCTTAGACCACTACAACTGCAGAAAAATACCAACTGAATACAACTTTGAACAAATTCTCCAAGAACTGGCACACAAAACTCTCATCCAAGAGCCTGCTTTTGTGATTGAGCAGTGTAATGGTATGCTTTCCCCTCTCAAAAAGCAGCTTGAAGAAGAGGGAGCTGTCTATGAAAAGAAAAGGAAATAACAAAACATATGACCACAAACCTGTGAGAGTGTGATTCAAAGCAACAGTCTCTGTTTCTTAGATTCTGTACAGGCTCCGATCTGTTTCTAGGTAAGACTATAACCACTGACTTTACAGACATCCAGGGCTTTGAAAGAAGGCCTGTGGCACATACTTCTGGGTGTCTTCTAAGATTGTCAATTTATTACAATAGCTACCCAGATTTTAGGTATGAAATTAATAAAATTCTGGAAAGTAATATATGGGTCAAGGACATAGTTTAGTGCCATAGACATGTGCCATAGCCAGGCAGTCAATACAATCCACATTTTACATATTAAGGGAATATGATTTTGCAGAGTAATGCATGGGTCATGTACATAATTTAGTGCCTCAATCTCTTAATATATTTTTTATGAAGCATTCCTATGTACATTAGCACTTTAATGTATCCACAAGGTGCAGCACTAGTGTAAATTGCAATTATAGAGTAAACACATTCTGCCGTTACACTGTAGATCAGGGAAAGACATTCCTGTACATGTAAGCTTAGTTTTTTAAAAGAGGTGTAGAAGTGAATACTGTTTTGAACATTATTTTATTTATTTTTTTATTTTCAATATTTTAATACTCCAGTTGAGCACTAAGTGGAGGGGTTTTTGGCAGTTATGTTTGCCAAGAAACTAGTTAAGCATTTGAAATAAAATACAGTGTAGGGATTTAGAAAAAAATATATTACAACAAGGAACTGATATAGCAAATGTTGTGATCCAAGTGTTCAAGTCTAACAAATGTTTTAATTAATTTGTTAAGATTAATAAATCATCTTTAAGTATCACTTGGTATTCTGCCACCTACTGGTGTAATTTGTTTTTGCACTTATACTTCTAACAACGCTAAGAAGGGCGAAATAGGAGGCAATGGTCAAAATCACATTTGCTCCTCTTCAGACATTTTGTTTCCATAGAAGGTAAGAGGTACTAATAAATGACAACACATATTCCAATTGGACAATGGTTTACAAATTAATCTCTATAAATGTATCTGTATTATATTGGATGGTTCAATTTTATATGTTGCTTTATTAATCATGAATTTTGGTAATTTTATGCAATTTCACTTAAATTACAATTCTTAATAAACCATTCATAATTTCATATTAGTTTGAGTCCCTGACGGAAGCATTGGTATGCCTGAAATGTAAAGGTTACTATAATGAAACTTTTCTGACCTGATCATCATGTACATTTCTAAAGAACTATATACAGAATTTTTGCATTTGGTGGAATTATTAGGGGTATAATGAGACTAGTTTAATGCAGCTAGAGTGCATTAATTCAACATATCCACAACAATTTCTCAAAGTTGGATGTACAAATCTACATTGCCATACACATAAGAAATTTACAAACGAGAGGGGGCCATTCGGCCCATCAAGCTCATTTGGGGAGAACTTAACTAATAGCTCAGAGTTGTTAAAATCTTATCTAGCTCTGATTTAAAGGAACCTAGGGTTTTAGCTTCC